AGATGGTGGGGTCTGAGCCAATCATAGACGATGCTCAGGCCCCGTACAACCATACACAGATGAAAGGTGGGAGGAGAGACGAAGGAGGTGGGAGACGTAGGCAGCGCCAGATGCCACCGAGATAGAATCCAGTACGTCCCTGATATGGTAGTCCAAAATGTCATCGAAAAAGATCAAAATGTCGTGGACATAAGTCACCAATGTCAGAGGTACAGAGTCCTAATGTAGCCGGTGTCCAATCTGTGATGCCGCCGAGTATCAATCCCAACAATCTCCAAGTCTCGAAACCGGTAGGTATCACAGCCTCTTACCACCGAAGTCCAACACTGATCTCTGTCCAACTCGTATCAAGTCTCCAATCTGAAGAAGAAGAAGAAGAAGTCTGAAGGAGAAGAAGAAGAAGTCTGAAGAAGAAGAAGAAGAAGTCTGAAGAAGAAGAAGAAGAAGAAGAGGAGATAGCAGAGGAAGAGGGACAGATGGCGAGGTAGGGAGGAGGAGAGTCCTTGCTTCCCTGTCCTGGTCCGAAACCCTACCTGCAAGGTGCAAGGTGGTGCCTTGAAGCCTTCTGCAGTCGAAGTCCGTGGAAGCTATGGCGCCACAGGTAAGTGTCTCGCTGCTCTCTATCCCGAACTGCAGTCGAAGTCCGCGGAAGCTATGGCGCCACAGGTAAGTACCAGGTAAGTGTCTCGCTGCTCTCTATCCCGAACTGCAGTCTAGCGCTAACCTCGTGCAACTGCAGTAGCGCTGCGCTCAAAACAGAATAGCGCAGTGTTGCTCCCCGAATGCCGAACAGGCGGCCTCCGGTACCCAAGTACCGGTGTGGAAAGGCCGGCCTCTATGCTGCGAGGCCGAGCCGTGATCTGAATCGTCAAAAGTGACGATTCAGATCAGACCGGCGGGCGGCAGCCTCAAGAGCGCCACCAGGTCCAACGGTAACGTCGTTTGGGCCTGCCCATCTGGTCTGGTCCTCAATGTGGCCTAAAGGCCAACCGGTGGGCCTGCAAATGGCGCTACCGGTCTAAAGGTCCGGCCTTGGGCCTGGACCGGCCTCCGAACCCCTATCTGTCGGGCCTAACCGGGCCCGTGTGACATAGTATGTAACAGGGGGGCTTCAGTCCGGCTGCTTATCAAGCAAGATAGCTGCAGGGATAGAAATCAGCCAAGCCCTTGCAGTACTAGTCGCCTATCAAGGGGGGCACTGCTACAGGCCATCCCACCCCCCAAACCATAGCCTCCCCTGGAGTTCTTCTGCTGGCCGGGAAGCTTACTAGCAGCACCCAGACACCCAGCAGACGGAGCTCAGGGGCGGCGGGGTGCGGAGGGAGAGAGAGCCTAGCTATCTCGCTGGCCGCTTGTCTCCTCCTATTAGCCAAGACCTCTCTTGAAAAAAAAAAAACAGACTTGTTCCTATAACACCCATCTTCGATCATAGCCATGCTCCCTCTATGCACTTCTATCCTCCCTACCAGTTTTACTTGTTCTCCCATATTTCTTGATACCATCCTACTTAAATTACCCAAATTTCATTCTCTCAAAGCCCCAGCTTTTCCAATTTTCCACAACTTTTCCGAAGTTTTACCCCTCTTTTCAGTGAAACTCGCCCCCCTGTCTCCCAACCGCTATCGTCTTCATCTTCCCCTCACATTACCCCTTCTATCCCCTGGAGTCCTCCTATCGCTTCCCCTGCTGGGCATGTTTCGTAAGTATGGTGCATCTACAATCCCACCCGTCCCCCTCTTTCTAGCTCCTATATGTTACACAACTGCAATCGGAATTCAATCGGTCGGGGCTGTACACTATTCCTCTTCATCCTCAGCCTCCGGCCAAGGAACATGACGTGCCAAGATGGGGCCAAACTGCAAACTGCAATTGGCCTGCGTGGGGATTCCTAGTCAAGAAATGCGGATAAGGCGGGCTAAATCTTTCCCAGAACCCGGCCTCCCTCGCCCCTGTGCATCGGCACCGACGAAGATCCGCCAACAGGGCAATCCTGATGCTGTCCAAGGCACATTCCTGGTATGAGTGTAACGGCGGGGTCGCACCCTGCCTACATAGCTTGTTCCGCAGCGTCCACAAGACCCATAACACCGCAGCTCTCACAATCTCTTCCGCCATCGATTCCCATAGGCCAATTTGCTGACCTTAATCAAGGGTCCCCAGAGGATCTCTCCATCATTTGTCTCATCAACATCAAGGGTCCCCAGAGGATCTCTGCATCGTTGGTCTCATCAACATTCAGGGGCGCGCCTGCAACTTCCTGGTGGCCACCATTGCCAGAATGCCTGGACCTCCGGGCATCGCACAAAGAGATAGAGGGATAGTTTCCACCTGGCCGCATGCCGCAGCACATGTCCGACCCTTATATTGACTTTTTGTGGCTTGCAATTGCGCTGTCGGGATTGCCAGATGGTAGATTTGCCAGAGTAAGCCCGCCTGCTTTCTGGTCTGGTAGGGCTGCCTTAATGGCACATTGCTCATTCCATCTCCGCTGCATCCATCT